GGGGGGGTTTGGGGGGGGGGGGGGGGGCGATTCAGCCTCACTGACTCAATGACTTGAGTCCTAAGGTCTGGGAAGTTGATCCTGGACATCCCCTTTAGGCAGGCTTAGGGACTCTGTTACCTTGTTTTAGGAAAAAAAAAAGAAAAAGAAAAAGAAAAAGAAAAACTGCTTCAGGGCCTTCAGGGACTTGTACAGGGGCACAGGAAGGAGACAGTTAACCAAGACGCAGTCAGGCCAGGCCTCATGCTCCCAGACTCCTTCATGTCAGATCGGCTGATGCAGATACCCTATTCTCTGGAGCACTGACCCCTTGGGGTTCTGCCTATCTGTGACTGGGCTGAGCTAGCGTCTTTCCCAGCATGGGGACAGCCCAGCCAGGGCCTGCAGGGACTCTCTCCTTCATTCATCTGGAAGTCAATCTCCAGCAGGAAACCCCATGACTCCTGGGACTCATGCCTGGGTTTTTCCTCAGCCCTGATTGGCCAGGTCTCAACTGTCCACCTGCTCTCTGGCAACCTGGTAGCCTCCAGGGACTCAACCTATCCATCTGTGGTTCACCCTCCTCCCAGCCACAGAACAGTCCTAAAATCAGAATCAAGCCTATGTAGGCCCTTACCTGAAACCCTCACGAGCTTCCCATCACACTGAAAATAAGACTCCAGTTGTGTGCCCCCACCTCTCCCTGCCCCATTCAGCCCCCTCACCCTGCTCAGCTCTCCTCTTCTGCCCCTCTGTTCAGGCTCTCTGCCTCCCTTTAGTCTCTTAAACTCCACATTTCCCTCCATACTAGGATCTCTGCATGAACAGCTTCTGTTGCCCAACACTTTCCCCGTGGTTCTTAGCAAATATAACTCTTCACCCTTAATGAAGGTCTAAGCTTTCCCTGGCCAATGGAAGAGGGCTGGATGGGGTTCTCTCTCTCAGAATGATAACAGTAAGTTCTTACCCCTTTGGCACCGTGGATACTGTGAGGCCCCATGGCTATCACACAGGGCCCCCTCAACACTGTGCAGGGCTTGACCTACTACACTTTCCCAAGCCATCGCAACAGCGTGGCCACATTGCCCCCTGTGGAATGTCATTCTCTCAAGATCAGGAACTTCTGTTCTTCCTTGTTCACGGCAGCATCCATACAGAAGAGCAAGTCCCTTGGATCCAGTAGGTGCTCAATTAATCCTTGATCGGTTCAGCAAGACGTAAAACAATCTCAGGAGGTTAGAGGTTGGATATGTCGTCCTGTCCCTGGGAAGAGTTTAGGGCCTACACAGGATGGGGTAGGGGTAATCATGGTGATCAGAAACAGGAAGCAGTGAGCAGCAAGACCCACAGGAGGTCCAAGAGGCCCCTCCTGAAAAAGCCAGCAGCCCAAGGCACCGAGGAGTGGCTTCCCCCTGAAAACCCTATCAGGGGATTAGGGGTTCACAGCCCAAGGCTTTAAAATGCTTTGTGACAGAGTGACATTGTGAAAGGGGTAACATAAAATAAAATACATGGGGTTTCAAAGGAAACTCACTTTATTGAAATGCAGCTACCATAAGATGAATGAATACATTTGTGATTTATGAATAGCTGTGCTTCTTCCCTGACCCACTGACTGGCAGGGCCCATCGCCCTGATCTTGGCCCCCCTCAAGGGAGAGCTCAGAGTGTCCCAACAATGTGGTGGGGGCGGAAACACCTCCTGCTCGGTGGATGACACTGCTGCCTCCACCAGTTGTCTCCATCTGGGAGGGAGGCGGACCCCGGGGAGGCTGGCAGTGTCAGGCTGCAGTGCTTCACATCCTGTTGTACCTGCCCCTGAGTCTGGCAGATCACAGGGGCGGTAGGGTTGTGCTCATTTCATTTTTCCCTCTTCCTTCTTTCTTTTCTTTTCCTCCTCTTCCCCCTTCTCCTTCCTCCTCCGATTCCTCCTCCTCTCTCTTCTCTCTCTCTCCTTCCTTCCCTTCCCCTTTTCCCTCTTCCCCTGCCCCTCTCCCTCTCCTCTGTCTTCCTTTCCCTCTTTCTTTTCTTTCTTGGTACTGGGGATTGAAACTAGGGACCCTGCACTAAGCTACATCCTCAGCCCTTTTTATTTTGAAAGAGGGTTCACTAAGTTGCAAAGTTACCCTGGCTGGGCTCTAACACTTGCAATCTTTCTGCCACAGTTTCCCAGACTGCTAGGATTACAGGCTTATGCTGGGAGGCAGAGGCAAGTGACCTCCTCTGCCTACCTGGCCAGGTGGCCCCAAGGAGCACCAGGAAAGTGTAGGTGCTCATCAGCCCCAACTGCAGTTCAGAAGCATAGAGAGGAGGGCAGGGCTTCCCTTCAATGGTATTTAGGGGGCATTTTCCCCACACAGTCCCCAGAAGTGATGAAGCAAGGAGATGGCAGAGAATGAAAGTGGTTACAGGGACCCTTGGGGAGGGTCACCTTCACACTGGCCCTGAAGCCACCAGAAAGTACATCCAAGCCCCCTAAAAACCGACTCCCTGAGTGTGAGCCTAGCTCTGCCTCTCCCCAGCTCTCGCCCCAGCCAAGTGAACCAGCTTTTCTATGTCTCGGTCTTCTCTGCGAAATGGGGCTCATGACACACCATAGAAGAAAAGAGGAAGAAACAGCGAAACTGCTTGTAATGGTGCCCTACACACAGAGGGGCTGCCCAAGTGCAAGTTCCTGTCCAGGCTGTCTGAGAGCCATAAGTGCCAGACAGGGGTAGCCCTGGCTGGTGTGCCATAGGTTTGGGGCGCAGAGGGGAGACCAGTGCAGCTGTACCGCCCAGAACTGGTGATCAGACTGGGAGGAGGGCTGGCTGGGGCTGGGGTTGAGCTCAGGCTGTCTGACGGGGCCATAAGCACCCAGGCTGCCTTCTGAGAGGGGTGTGAGGGTCTCTGGGGATGGAGAACCAGGCTTGGCAAAATGATGGCATCTGTGGGCATTTTGTCCATTAAGTTTATTGGTTCTTTTTAGGTATACAGTACAGTTGCATTCATCACTGGGATCTTGTAACTTTACATGATATATCTTGGTTCTTATTTTTTCCCCATACCCTGCCCTCAACTTTACCCCCTCCACCCTTCCCTATTTA